AATATACTTGGAATACTGAGTTTTGGTTTTGGTCACCATGATACAAAAAAGAAGTTGAGACTCTAGAAAGAGTGCAGAGAAGAGCGACAAAGGTGATTAGAGTACTGGAAGCTAAAACATATGAACGGTTGCAGGAATTTGTATGTCTAGACTAGTGAAAAGAAGGACTAAGGGTGACATGATAGCAATGTTCCAATATTTGAGAGGCTGCCACAGAGAAGAGGGGGGCAACCTATTTTCCAAAGCACCAGAAGGCAGGATGAGAATGGAAACTACAGTAATCAAGGAGAGAAGCAACTTTAAAACTAAGGAGAAATTTACTGACAGCACAATCGATCAGTGGAACAGCTTGCCTCCAAAAGCTGTGAATGCTTCAACACAGGAAGTTTTAAAGAAGAGATTGGACAGCGATTTGTCCGGAATGGTATAGGATCTCTTGCCTGAGCAGGGGGTTGGACTAGAAGACCTCCAAGCTCCCTTCCAACCTTGTTATTCTGTGTTCTGTTAGAAGGCATCAAGCTGACCAAGGAATGCTGCTGAGCAGTTATATTAGGTGTCTCTAAATCATAGACTGCCATCTACTGGCAATTTATAATATTTATTACAAATCAGCTCTGTAATCTATTTTATTGTGCCATCCAGCTATATATCCTTATTTTTATTGGGCTGGGTGCTGATAAGAGAAAGAAAGAAAGAAAGAAAGAAAGAAAGAAAGAAAGAAAGAAAGAAAGAAAGAAAGAAAGAAAGAAAGAAAGAAAGAAAGAAAGAGACATAGGCCTCAAAGCCACTTAATCTCATGTCCTTCCTGTGATCTGGGAATCTTTTGCTCAAGGTTTAACACTCTTTCAGAAGGAGACTGCTAGACCCATGTTTATAAATAGGGCAGCTAACAAGTAACAGGAGCCAAGCAGCTGTGAGGTAGCAACCTGCTATTCTGACAACTGCATAAGGCACTAAACAACTGTTGCATGCCCCTCATCTACCTTACCCTTCCCTGCCCTGCCAGACACTAAAGAGAACAGTTAAGGGTGTTTTCCTACCAGCAAGTGATGCTCAGAGCCTTCCCTTAAAATGTCCCACCTTTAAGCAGTTAGGGTGGCACTCCTCCTCAGTCTCATTGCCCATATGCCCAATGAAGTAGCACAAGTAGGCCGATGTTCTGTTCTGCCCACTGGTGGTCTAGAGGAAAGTATTTTGGACTGGCCATGCTTTCTTGCTATATCATAGACATTTGGACTTTGCAGCCTTAGTGAGTGAACTAATCTGTTTTTTTTCCTTTGAAAAATTACACTTAATTTTCTTAAGGTTATTCAAAACTTTTATTCCACTGTTTTTCAGTGTTTTCAGTTCTGTTAGTAAAGGCTTTAAGACTTTAAGTCAACACATTTATAAAAGAGGTGTAGCAGATGAGCAGGCATCTGCAGCTGCAACCAGACCAGATGTAATGGATGGTACTGACAAAGGGGGAAGCGATGGATTGTAGTAAAGTGGCAGTTTCCCAGCAAGGAGGGAACACATCCAAGGAGGGGGACGAGACAAAAGACAACACATCCCAGAACTGGATAGGAGCCAGAGGAAGAAAGTCAGGATAACTACTCCCTAGAATGTCCTAGGGTATATCCGTTAGGATGAGAGTAGTAAAGATTTAGTCTAGTAAGATTCTGTCTCTTTGTGTGAGCAAATCACCAAATTTTGCCAAGATTGTTTTACGTCTTTACTGGACTGGGTCTGACATCATTAAAGCTCTGCCCCCTTTTAGCATGTGTCATAAGTATTGTGCACATATAAAAAGGTGATTAGTCATACTTGAATCTAATTATCTTTGCTACAAAGGCCCCCTGCAAGCAACTATCATCTGCCAAATTTGGCCAGTGCTAAGTCATGTTAGTATGTCCTAAGATCAAATGTGAAGCAGATGAAGGTAGATTAGGAAAACCTCTAAAGATCTAAAATTAGCAGGAAGCCCACTTGAGGGATCACGGAGCCTGAAACTCTTCTTCATTATAGGGTTTGGCTAGTCTAAAGAAAAGAAGAAATAGGAATGACATGATAGCAGTATTCCAGTATTTGAGAGGCTGCCACAAAGAAAAGGGGGGTCAAATTATTCTCTAAAGCACCGGAGGGAAGGGTAAGAAACAATGGATGGAAACTGATCAAAGAGAGAAGCAACCTGGAATTAAGGAGAAAGTTCCTAACAGTGAGGACAATTAACCAGTGGAACAGATTGCCCTCAGAAATTGTGGGCGCTCCATCACTGGAGGTTTTTAAGAAGAGACTAGACAGTCACTTGTCTGAGATAGCATAGATTCTCCTGCTTGAGCGGGGGGCTGGACTAGAAGACCTCCAAAGTTCTATTCTATTCTATTCTATTCTATTCTATTCTATTCTATTCTATTCTATTCTATTCTATTCTATTCTATATCTCCAGTTAAATAAAGTCCTATCTGTTGGGCCACAAAGAAAGCTGATTTTAATTACACTTAGTTTAAAAAACAAAGAACTGGAGCTGTAGCAGTAAAAATTGACCTGAAATTTTCCAGAACAAACCATTTGATATAACAGAAACTTAATCAGAGTGCTGCTAAGAGCCCTATGGCTCCATTTTACAGAACACATTCCAATAAGGCATTATTTTCCCCCCAGATATTTTATTTTAAAACACATTATTTTGTCATCAGTGAGATAGCTACAGTATACAAACATGATTTTAAGAAATACTTCATATTAATAAATAGTTCTGGTAACATGGCATTTGTAGCAGTGAAGCATAAAAAAACCCTTATTTTCACTTGTAAAGATAGAGTGAGTTCTGTTGTTGAATAATTTTTCATGATTATTCTGGTGTTTTGTTTTGTTTTTGCAATAAAAAGGTACAAAACTTACCAGCTTATCGTTTTTATTATCCTGTAGGGTCATCTGATAGCAGTGGCAAAAATCAGGGCTCCTTCATCCCAGACCTCTAAGAGTCAGGGTCACTCACTTCATTTAGAAGCAGGCATTTCCAGCCCTACCACTCTTTTCAGTCTTTGTCCTTTTCCCTCCCAATTTTGATTGTTTGATCAACTGTCAATCTTGGAACAGTAGGAGATTCAGAAGATAGGGGAAAGCAAATACACTGACCTAAAATGATCAGTGGCACAAGCCCACGTGCCGGTCATGAGAACTTCTGAATACAAACTGATGCATACCATATTGATCAATGTATTGTATCTTAATCAGAAAAGTCACTGGAGATGGCTAAATCTTTTGTGAGATACATTTAGGTGTGACCTGCACTAGGTGCGTGCAAGTTGGCTGTGCTTCATCTCAAAATGGTCTTCATGTTTACCAGGCTACATGTTTTGCCTTTAGATATTTTTTCATCAGTCTCTAAGACTTCATCCAACAGTTCCAGTTGCCAAAAAAAGGCTTTAAAAGGTACAACACAACAAAAAAAATGGTCAGAAACTATTTTCCATTGATACAGAAACTAGGTCAGAAATGATGGTGTAAGTTGCAACTGCCTAGATTGTTTTTTAAAAAAAAAAACCTTGATGGCGATAGCTGTATAAGGTGAAACGGCCTAAATATGAAGCTTGTCAGTTCTCTATAGATTTTTAAGAAAAAGCAAGAACGTTAAGAATGGGTTAATTGATTTTCCCTCATACCACAGAAGATTGAATTGAATGGTTCTTGTGGTGCCTTCACAATTCTGATTGTCAGAATCCTTTTCCTCTCTAAGTCTATACAAAGATAATAGCTCATTCACCAGTGTATAAAATGCAGTCACAAAATTTCCTACAACTGTACAAATCGGTGGGCAAGACTGAGTTAAATTATGCTTTAAAACACAATCCTCCTGGAGATGAATTGGCCCTGACCTTGATAGCTTTTTGCAAGGCATTAGATATGGTTTGTCACCAGGCTTGGAGATCAAGATGTGTCTGTGTCAGGACCTATGCAGCAGTTGTATTGATGGTTCTTTTTTTAACCTCTGCTTATTTTATTTGTGATGTTTTTATATTGTTTTCAATTGTTATTAACCATCCAGTCATGAATTTGGAACAGCGGCCATATAAATTGAAAGTGACAGTAGGAATGCACAAAATAAAGGAAAATATTCCAAGCTAATAGTAGCCATTTCAAGTATTCAAAATTAAGGACAAAATAGGGAACTTTATTCCAGTTATTCAGTGTGCCAATGTTCTATGGTAGACTTTTTACACAATGGGTAATTTTTTGTTATTGGGAATTTTAAAAGCTAATTGGCTGCTGTTTCTTGTGCTTTCTTTTTCAAGCAATTACCAAATAGCTAATGTATATATTGGGCATATTAATTACAGATAGGTTATCTATTGTGCATCCATAGGCCATAGTGAGATCCATAGGCCAAAATGTTGCTTTGTTTTGTAAAAATATTGTCTGTAGATGTGCATTTTTAAGTAGAAGTATACAGAAAGTGTTATTTGTGCCGCACACAAAATAAACACACTGAGGGATGGTGATTCAGTTGAACCCTTTAGAGCAGGGGTATCAAACTGGCAGCCCGCGGGCCGGATGCATCATGTTAGGGCCACGCCTACCTCGGTTCCGCAAAGGCAAAAAATATTGTGATACATCACGATACGTCACATGATGCAATCGAGTTGGACAAGTAATAATTCAGCTGAATCAAAAGCTGCCATCCGTTTGGTTGGTCTGGATTTCAGCCAAGACAAAACCTGGAGAAATCTTAGAAACTGAGGCGGCCATGGCTAGTGTGCCTTACCCTCTTCCTCTACATGGCACGTGTACCTGCTAATTCTCTCACCGCCTTATTCCCCTTAGCCCTATATCTGTTCAACTCACCAGGCTTCTTCCCCAATCTTCCTAACAAGTTAGTTCCCTTAGGGACTGATGGCATTCAGTGCAAACGGCTTATCGGTCCTGCAGTCTTTATTACTTTCATTATGGCCTTTGGCTGATTTTTCCGCAGGCTGGCTGGTAACTGGCACTCATTATGGCAGACAACAGAGATCTTGGAACTTCAAACAAAGTAACCTTTATTTCATCCATATGCCCCCCAAAAATAAAATAAAAAAAACACAACTTGGTAAAAGGAAAACATTTAGAACGGTGAGTTGTATGAGTAAATACATATTTATGATAGGTGAAATACAGCAGTCGCATCCAATTCCCAAATTACATACACAGGAGAAGCAGCACACAGTACCTGAACATCTGTAGGCATCCCAAAAGAAAAGGTTAAATGTTACAAAACACCCAAGAGGTGTACAGCATTTTTAGCAGTTAGCAGATGAGCTAAAAACAAAACAATACAAAATGCAGCCCTGTTTGTTTGCATAAGAGAATTCAGATGATACACTTTAGTGTTCACTTCCTGGATCCAGAAGACAAACGCAATCAATGCAGCAATGTGGCTGTCCTGTCATCATCAACTCAAAACCTAGTAACTTCTGAAGTGATTATTATGATTATTTAAAACCAAGTAATTCTAAAAAAAAAGATGTTGATATCTAAAGCTGAACTTTCACCTTTTGCTTTTCCTTTTTTTTCTTCCATAAAGCTGTAATTTATACTGAAATCAGCATCTCTTCCTGAAAGGTAATCCCAATACATGAATTTCTATTATACATTTATAGGCCACGTACAGATGCAGGACAAATTCTTCACATTTTGAGCCTTCCCCAAGCACACACACAATGTTTTATGTACAGCAGTATGTTTATAACAATTCCTGAACTTAAGGTGCATAGGCAGATGAAGCCTTACTTTGTAAAGAGAACAGCTTATAAATTTTGCTCATAAAATGAGATGGCAAAAAATGCCTTGTATCTTACAAAGTCTTTTCACAACATAAACAATTTTAAAATAAAATGTAAATTTGACATCAAAACCAGAAAGATAACCCTGCCACCCTAAATCAAATGTATTTCCAGTATATATTCTTCCAAAAAGATCTCCCAATTTTAAAATAAAATTCATATATATATATATATATATATATGTCTGTGTGTTCACGCCTGTACACACACACACACACTCACACATCCATCCATACACACACGCACACACACAGACACACTCACATTTATAACTTAAGTGTTGTTTGCTGTAATTTCTTTCATGCAAGAAACATGAGCTTTTCAGAGAGGCCGTTCTGAAACTGCAGTAAAGCTCTTCACTCGTGCAAAGAACAAAGGGGTGTACATCTTGTCAATGTCAAAAGAAGAGACTACTGTCTCACCAGTAGACCTAAAAAAAAAGAAAAAAGTGTTAAACCTGACTTATTCCTTGCCTAAAAGGAAAAGAACTGCCTTGAATAATATAATTTCTCTTTGCATCCTATGTAAGAAAATCTTTTACTTGAAACCAGAGCACTTTTACATATACGGCTATGGAAATTGGAATTTGACACCAATGTTTGCAGATCTTAAGGCAGTGATGGCGAACCTTTTAGAGACCGAGTGCCCAAACTGCAACCCAAAACCCACTTATGCATCGTCGGGTGCCGGGTGGGCGTGGCCCATTGGGTGCGCGTGGCTGCGGTGGTAACAGCAGACTGGGTGGGACCAAACCGTTCAATCAATCAATTCCAAGTTTGCAAAATCTTTTTTTTCCCCTTGAGAAGTTGAAATTGATTGATTGAACCTTTTTTTTTGCACACGCAGGTGGAGGCCTAAAGCGAAAAGGTTTTATAAAACGCAGCTGAAGACCTAGGACTGGGGTGACGGTGTGCGTGCCCACAGAGAGGGCTCTGAGTGCTGCCTCTGGCACCCGTGCCATAGGTTCGCCACCACTGTCTTAAGGCTTTATTGAGAAAAAAAACAAAACAGCACGATTCCAAAATAATACATGAAATGTATAGCTATACTGCAAAAAAAAAAATGGTTGTATAGGAATTTTCATGGTTAGAAGAGACTTTGAGGCATGAATGCCACTTTCTGATGCCAATGATTAGTAGAATAATCTGCAAATTATTAAAATACTTCAAAATAATTCAACAAGAATATCATACTAATTTGTTTAATTTAATATCTGTTTATCTGATCTGGCAGAGTGGGCATGCTCCAGGTTCAATTAAACAATGTCAACTATCAAGACCTCAGAAGCCCACCTTCTCTGTAGCAGCTCCTGCTCTCTGGAATCAGGTTTTCCCTGAAATCTGAATGGCTCCCATCTTAGTGTTGTTTCAAAGGAACCCGAAGAAGTGGTTTTTCACCCAGCCCTTTGACAAGGGTAACTGAAGCCTCCTTTATCCACTGTTCTCATCACATTTTGTCATTTTTGTTATCTTTATTCATTTTTGTTTTTTCCTCGTTTTAAATGTTTTAACAATTTGTAAACTACCTAGAGTCACTGAGAGTTGGGCAAAACATACTGTCAACGCTGCTAATATTGGATATTCTTGCTTTGACAAAATATGCAGAACTGTCTGGTATTTTTAGAGTTAATGCAGAGGAGAATGAGGGATGAGGGAAAAGCCACGGAAGGGAAAGGAAGGGAACCTTTGCCCTTCACACTAATTGGGGAACGTAAATCATGACAGCAAAATAGGGAGTGGAAATGCTAGCAAAAATAACTGCTCGGTGGGTGGGGATTCAGATTCTAGCATTCCTTTTATCATGCCTGTGCCGACATTTTGTCACATAAATAAAAAGACTTTTTTAGGATAAAATGCCTGGAAGTTCTTTGAAGTGTTTCATTCGTCGGAACCATGACACATACATTTATTATTATGGTTGGTCATACAGTCAGCACGTTTATACTGGATTTGGTATTTTAATCTATCTATCAAATCCTTCCCAAGGAGCTGGGATAGGCAGAGGTTGTTGTTTGATAGTGATAAAGATATTGTTGCAGGATATAAGCTCCAAATAAAGCTGCCTTTTGTAATGTTTGCAATTGCACCCAAGGCATCTATTACTATTGACATTATTTTTTCTTTGACCACAGCATCCAATATCCAGATTTTTTTTGTCTTTGTTACCGACAATTGTTAAGTCTGGGATTTTATGCAGCATGTATCTGTCTGTTTGAATCTTAAAGTCCCAGAGCACTTTAGCTTCTTCATATTTTATTACTTTGTCTATTGTACGGTCCCACCAGTTCTTGTTTGCAGGCAAATGATATTTTTGCAGATATTGCAATGCACTACTGTTGCTACTTTGCCATGCTGTTGTTTATAATTGGTGTGTATAACGTTCTTGCAACAACTAAGTAGGTAGTCCACTGTTTCTTCAGCTTTTTTGCAGAGAGGGCATTGGCTTCCTTCTCAATTCTGGTTTTGCATGCATTTGTTTTTAAGGCTTGGTCTTGTGCAGCCAGAATTAACCCAGCATTTTAGTTCTGCTCTAGTGACTGGAATTGCCCACGTGCCTTGATGGAGTTTAGACTTTCAGATTTTCTTCACTTTCTTGACTTCTAACCTTCTTCTTGACTTCAGTGAAGTTTGAAGTTATCAATTTGAAGGTATTTGTAATGATTGTCTTCATCCAGTGTTGAGCAGCGATTCAATTTTGGATGGTGTTTTTTTATTGCGTTTCAAATTGTCCATGTGAAGAAGTGAGATAGTCTGGCAAATGTTTTTGATGTTTGATATCCCTTGTCTGATTTGTTCAATATTGTTGACTGAATTAGATTTATTTGCCTAAGAAATTAAAATCAGTATTCTGCTTCATCTTTGAGACAATAAAGTATCTAGCAAACATTTCAAACTGGAAGTTATGGACACCATCTAATTACAAAAGGACTTCAATTCACTCAATGGAATTTCCCCTTCTTCTCTTCTTCCTACATATTTATGTACCACCAAATTCCTCCATCACTCTATTCTGCTGGCAATATTTGTTTGGCCAGTTGGATGAAAACAACTAGAAACAATGTGATATATGGGCAAATCTCACCTTTCAGATACTTGCATTTATTTTTATGTTACAAAATTAACTAATCTTACAGGCTCCTAGTTTAAAAGGTAGTGATACAGACATTTCTTATTATATAAGTGGTATGATTATGGGCTGTAGACATCCATGATTCCTTCTGTTGCCAAGTCTTGTTACATATTGTAAACAGGCATAAAAAAGCTTGTAAAAAAGAAAGAAAGAAAAAAAAGTATCTTCTATTAGCAAGGACTGAAAGATTAGGTTTCAAGGACTTTTAAAGTTTTTTATAACATTTGAAAAAAAAACCTTACTTGTAAGTTATGTGGCAAGAATGATGAATCCAAATGAGTTTATTAAATTTCTGACGGCCACTGGAATTCAGCTGTAACCCTAGATGAAAACTGTGATCAGTTTCTTGCACAGGGACACGACAGAAATATCTGAACTTGTGATAGTCAATTGGTTTCTACATAACAAACAAGAAAGGAATAGGCTGTCAAGAATATGCAGCAAAAGACAGCTACTGAATCTGTACCCTAAGGTTAAAAGATAAAATGTTACATTTCAAAGACATTTTCATTTCTTCAAAAATTCTGGTACGAATCAACCCCAATCAGCAATCTCCTATGTTAATGTACAAAATCAAAACACAATGACCCTATTGTGAGAAATTATAAAACCAGAACATTTTTATTGTCTGAATGAAAATCAGCATTTATAGACTCCTAGAAGAAATTGATGAAGAAAAATATATCTTCTACGATAGTATGAATGCTGATTTTCATTTAGACCAGGGATAGTCAACCTTGGCTCTTTTATGACTCGTGGACTTCAACTCCCAGAATTCCTGAGCCAGCGCAGCTGGCTCAGGAATTCTGGGAGTTGAGGTCCACAAGTCATAAAAGAGCCAAGGTTGACTACCCGATTTAGACAAAAAACATATTCTGTGTTTATAATAAAAGTGTATTTTTCTACAGTGAATAATATAAAATATAACCTATTACTTAAAGATAATGTAAGTATCCTACTTCTAAAACTAGACTTTTAAATGTTGATAGTGAAAATATTAAGAATCTATAAAAATTATTGAGTGGTAGAAAACTGGGAAAGGCTTTTTATTAATTTCTACTATTCCTAACCTTCAATTTCCCCTTCAGCTTTCAACACTTCCTTTCAGTCTTTTCTTGTTCACCTTCTAGCCCTTAATTCCAGCCTTCTATGCCTCCAGATTTAGGAAAAAGAAAATCTATATATATTGTCAAATAATCAGTCTTCTCTTTAAACCTACAGCTTGCCTTTGTTGGTTCAGAGCAGCAGGAAACAGAGCAATTAACATTATAAAACAATGTCTAAAGATGGAATGCTTATATTTCACTATCTTCTGGATGTACTTTCCTCAAATGTTTTGTTTTTGAACTCTTCCAAATTTAAAAAGAAAAAATTACACCCAAAAGCAGTTTCCTTTAAATTCAGAGTTTAAGGAGAATATCTGGAGAGAGTATTTTGCAGAAAGAACTACTCCAAAGTTATATTTTTACTTAACAAATTACCCTAAAGTACAATATTTATTGCTTTCTTGTTCTATTAATCAGTCAGTTGATTACTGTTGACCATCTAATATTTTATTATATAAATACCTCTTCTTTCTTCTTTGTCATTACAGCAAATACTTTGGTTTGATTGTCTGTATCCTGGGAAAGGCGATAATGTCCAAGCAGGATTGCATCAGTTCTGAGATTTAGAAGGAAAACATTTCATGAAAATATATTCATTCAAGTGCTACTAAAAACACTGCTGATATTAAATTAGGTCCTAGAATAAATAGGATTTAAATTAATAATGACTAACTTAAATCCCTATTATTCAAAGAGCTTACTGAAATTATAATTAACTTTAGATTCAAACATGGTTTTCTTTCATTAAAGATAACTTGGTGTAATTTTCAAATCACTTGATCAATGCATTCTTTAATTTAGTCATCTAAGCAATGAAAAATGATAGTAGCTTTACTGTTTACCTAGTTATCAGGATCCAATGGACAATATAATTTTTTATTACAGATGTTGAAGATACCTTGTATTTTTAGTCCGTAATCGAGGAACAATAGACTGAGGTTCTTCTGGAGTTGTTAGCATAATTACTTGGCCATCTGGGAAAAATCTCAGGTACCTAAAACAATTGTTCAACATTTTTCCAATTTGGGTTTGTTCAGAAAAACGTATTAAAAGATAACAATAAAATGAAGAAACATCTTTCCCAACATTAGAAATTATAAAAAAAGCTCTGAAACCATACAAAGAACCTTACCACAACATGCACCAAAAGAACATGTCATCAGAATTTCATTAACTATGATGATCCAGTTTTGTTGCTGGAAGTATTCCAGTAGTGGGATATCAGAATGAAGATTAACTAGGCTAGGGTATCAAATTATGGTTCAAAACCAGCTCATTTCAGGATTTAATTTGCATACTTTAAGCTAGCTCTGTATATTCATAGCCTGAGAGTCATAGAAGATTCAGAGTTTGGAATCCCCACACAATTTTCTCCTTGTAATTTTTAAATACCTTAGGAATGTATAAAAGCAAAATTATAAACTTTAGTCACAAAATACATGGCTCCAGTTACCTAAACCATCCTGACTTTTTACGTACAGGTAATCATTTGAATTCACTGTATATCTTGGTTTGCAGCATTATACATAAACTGCATTGGAAGGAAGGCAAGAGAGATAAGTAACTCAGTCTTTCTAAAATGGCTATACCTGTAATAGTCCACTTGGTGCCATGCCCGATAGAATCCATCAAGAGATTGTTCTCCTTGACGAATGTATGTTGTCTTGCTGATATATACCCCTATAAAATATGGAGTTACCTGCTTATTATCAATATATACTTTAAATATACAATTATACACATTTTAGGATTCTGAAACAGAGAGCCTATTACAATTTTCAATCTTCTTTGCACCATTTATCAGTTATAATCTCATCTATTGCAATTACTATATAACTGCATTTAAAAGCAGGGTAGATTTTTTTCCTTCAAATTATTATCTTTAAGTTGGAAAGACTTGGACTGTTGTACAAACGAAGGTGGTAGGAGAGATATAAAGCAACTACCTGCAAATAATACCATAAATTGAATTCAACAGAGACAGGAGAGGGAAAAAAGGATCTTTGGCGGTTACACACTGATACAGTTCTTACTCTCAGTGAGACAAGAGTTACATAAGAAGTTCCTCCTCCTCTCATCCTCCACAGCAGGCTCAGCTCAAAATGTGAAGGACAAGAATGGGATAAGTGGGCCTAGTAGAGTTTTACACTATTCTCCTTTAAATGGGAGGAAATGGTCACATATAGAATAGGCATCATGTCTAATTAGGACAGGTGCTAGGCATACTTGGCTGGGAATAAAGCATTTCAAATTTACTAGAACTCATGCATTCATGCATAAAGGCTTCTGTTGAGTTATTTACAACCTTTCTCTTGTCTTTTCTTCCTTGTAGCCTCATCTCTGTATTGGTTTGTTTCCCTCCTCTCATTTCACTTTCTTCATTTCTTATTGTAAATGTTTCTTTCCTTCCTGCCATTTCCTCTACAGTACTATTCCTTTTTGTTTCTGTTGGAAGAAACAGAGTGTTTCTTCCAACATAAGAAGTGTTTACATATGAGTGGTTTTTGTTTGCACACGAAGAAAAAGTCAATTAATTTTGCAAATGGGGGCACTTTATTTACAAGCAATTATTTTAATGAATAATTCAATTAATTTTAACTTTTTTTCATGATCCAGTTATTTATTGCAATGCAGCTTCTGGATACATACACACACACAAAATTGAAACATGCTTATTCAACTAAAAATTTCCTTATTATCCAGAAAAAACTGTGTCCTTGCCACACCAATTATTTTCGGGAGGGTTTCATTCGCAATTCCTGGAAAGGTCCTTCCCAGAGAATATCTCATCAAACATAAATATCACAATTATTCTATTCGGTTAGAGGTCATTAAAAAGGTGATTATGTGTTCTTTAAGTGGGACTATGTTATAAGGTCAAAGTATATATTTAGAATGTCAATCATTGTTAGTAGTCCCAAGTGTACGCCAGTCACATTTCCAACCAATCTTTCTATTTACAACCAGGAACTATTGCTGCAATTATACCACCCCTGTCTTTCCTGATTATCATTACAACATTGCTGTTTCTTACCATCAAATCGAACTCTAGGTCTTTTCACAAACATTTCCCTCCATGAGGTATAAGGAACCATTTTATTACATGTCCTGCCCCAAACCTTCAAGCAAGCTTGACGCCAGATCTCAGGATCCCTGGAAAAAAGACAGTGTAATCTGATTATAAAAATGTTAACACAAACAAGAGTATCAGAAATATTGTGTGTTACTGGCTATCAAACACTGCAAATGGTTGTATAGTGTCTTTAAATGAGACTTTATTATTCAATTTTGAACACATTGTGGAAAATTGCTTTTTGATAAGATTTAATTCACCCTGTTCTCTCCTGTATCAGTTTTGTACACTGTGTGTGCATGGGCGTATGCTTTTAACTTCACTAGAATCAAATATCACAAGCAATGCTAGAATTATCTTTAAAACTCCCCTCTTTTTGTATATATAACTGCATAAGTGTTATACATGCCAAATCAGAATAACAGAGCTTCTCAGGTTACAAAACTTTATGGAATACATTAATAGGCTCAGCACAGTTTTAGTCAGAGGTTTAATTCAAAGTCACTTTGATCAAATCTTTGAACTGAATCAAACTGAATAGGAAAGTCAAAACAACTTTTTTTTCCAAATTGATATGAATAGTCAAATTCAATTAGCTTAACAGATGGAATGAAATCAACTGTTTGAAATGGAAGCAACCTGCAAACCTCCAATAAATCTGTCAGAGGAGAATCCAAAGGATGCTTAGGGAACTACAAAAAAGTGCCTCAATACTGTTCCATTAATGGAGACATATCACTACTTTCCATCATTAATCTTCACATTTTCATAAATTTCTGATTTTTTTATACTTTTTATTTCATATTTTTTTACTTTCATGATTTTAAAACTATAATCTTAAGGACCTTAGTTTTTCAGAACAAAATTAAAAGAATTAAGTCACTGAATAACTTACATTTATAAAACCATTAACTGCAATAATAGTAATTCATTTAAACACTTTTAAGGAATACATTTATTATTTTACACTAAGAGGTTTATTTGTTAATTGGCTGAGAGTGATGCCTGATAATTAAAATAAGTTTTTAGTTGCTTTAGTGAAGCTTTTTCTTTAAAAATACTTTGTATTATTAGTCAACTGATCATATCTTCTACCTAAAACTTCAAAAAACTCAGTAATTTTTAGTAAAGACCTTATTTTTATAACCACAAAAATTTGGTTGTCAGCATTTATTTCAAAAATCCTAAAATTACTCACTTTTATCCAGATAAATGAAATTTTTATTGCATGATAGTTTCAATTTTACCTGGCACAAATGTAAAAACCTCTGCAGACCAATGATAACTGTTCTAAAGATCTCAGGTCCAGATCACTGGAAACTACCCATCGAAAAATATACATTAACAGCTCCATAGGCAACACTATGGAAAAAAAATGTAAAAATTAGAATAATTCCAGTAGTCTGATTTGGATCCATGCTAAAAAAAAAAACAATCCAAAGTGGGGGAGGCTCCTTGGCATCCAAATGACTGACTTGGGATGGACTCTAATGCTGCTATTAATTATCCTCCCTCTTGGCACCAAAAGCAAGCAAGCAACAAAAAGCAACTGGAGAATCACTGAACTCTCCAGAGTAAATTTGGGGGCACCTGAAAGGCTTTAGGGAAAGGTCCCTTCTGCTTCCAAGGATGAACAAAGGATTCCACCCTTAATGTGGTACTATATTATACTAAATAAACATTAATGCATCTTCAAATATAGTTTTTTTTAAAAAATTACATTAAGCATGATATTTTTATCCAAACAGCTATTTTTGCAGGTTGCTGAATTTTTCATGAATCATTCATTTTACAAAAATAATTACTTTGCATGTCAACATGTTTACATGTACAATGCAATTCTAATGTATTCTAATAACAATGGATGTGAATATCTAAATATGAAATTGTCTTCTTTCAGTTTCAGGTAACAAAATATGTGGTAACAGCACATATTCATTTTTTTGTTAGATTTAAAATTGCAGAACAAGCACTTACAGCAACTATTGTTACAATTAACAGATTGTTTTTATACATCGGCATTCAATGAGGAACCCAGTGAAATTTAGTACAAAACATGCCTTATAGTTTATAAGATAACTTTAAACAAAAAAAATCTATAGATCCCTATATTTAGAATAAATTTCTTGTGCTAAATGTATTTACTACCAGGAAAGCGTTAAGTTAATCCTGCAATATATATTAATTATAACAATGAAGGAACTATTTTTATTGCTAAAATCTATACAGTTCCTGTTAAACATCTCAAACAGTTTTCACCTGTTCAGTATGGCTTCTGAACATCACTTTCATGGTCTTCTGTACTAAAATATGCCCACTAATTTCCTACAGAAAATGTTCTTTTACCTGAGATATGAGTCTGACTCAGATCAAGCTGAGGCTGACACAGTTTGATGGATGATTCCTGAAGAGTGAGTTGTTGAAAGTAAGAGAGAAGGTCAGCCATTTTGCTATCATCCTCATTATCTTCAATGCTAGAAAACACAGGCGTAAAATGAGACCAGAAAATCATAATACAACAGATGAACAGACTAACCCTGTTAATGTTAAAGGCCATTGATGTCAATATTTAAATTTATATACTGATTGGTATTTGGCGAAGGAAATGTTCTCAAACATGAAGACAAGAACACACTGAGGCATATAATATTGCCTTAACAGCTTCCCAGAATTGCAAATGAGACACAAAAACCAGTAAAAGAGAATGCTGCAATGATTTTCCCAACTGCCATTTTCCCAGTTTTTAATCTTTCAAAGGGTTTTATTACTACAAAGGCACACATTTGGATCTTGAGAGTGAGAGAAAGGATAAGACAATTGAGCCTAAAATTTCTGTTGCTAAGCAAGACAGTTGTTAAATGGGTTTTGCTCGATTTTACACCTTTCTTGCCACAGTTGTTAGGTGAATCACTGCAGTTAAGTTAGTAGCACAGTTGTTAAGTGAATCTGCTTCCCCAGTGACTTTTGTCAAAAAGTTGCAAAAGGTGATCACATGATCCCGGGACACTGCAACAATCTAAATTCATGCCAGTTGCCAAGCATCTGAATTTTGATCGTGTAATCATAGGGATGCTGCAATGGTCGTGTGAAAAATGGTCATAAGTTACTTTTTTCAGTGCTGTTGTAATTTTGAATGGTCACTAAACAAATAGTTGTAAGTTGAGGACTATCTGTATTTTCTTACTGTGATAGGAGAGTTGGCTCCTGCAGTTCATATTGGATTTCCCATATTGGAATAACTGTGTATGTATCACATTGTTCAGGGGTGTCAAACTCAATTTCATTGAGGGCCGCCATCAGCATTGCAGTTGCTCTTGGGGGGCCAGGTGGGTGTGGTCAGGGTGGGTGCAGCCTACTGGGTGGGCGTGGAGGGAGTGGGTGTGCCCTACTGGGTGGGCATGGCCAGCTCTACATTGTTCACGTCAATGGTGCCTGTGGGGGCCTGGGCAGGAGTGGGACAGATCTGAGGCAGAAGGGGGTGGGACCAGGGCAAGTGCCAAGGCATGGTCCACTGGAGGAGCCTCACTGTTCCTCTCAGGCCATGGGGGGGGCTGGATAGTGATGCGGGCTGCCCGGAGCCGTGGGCAGCAGAGGTCAAATGCCCAGCCTGGCCCTCGAGCCCCCGTGGCACCAAGCCCAGCCCCACTTCCCCAAGGGGGCGCCCAGCTGCACTTACCTCCTCCTCAAGGCTGCTGCTGCTGTGCTTGCTCTCCATAGCCAGGTTGTTCATGATGGGTACCAGGGCAAAGTCAGTGGGAGACTGAATGCGTTTCAGCATAGATGGCCACCACAAAATTGTACATTGGCTCCCGGCCGGCTGGCCGGCCTGGGCCAGGGCCAAGGCAGTGGGGGCCGTTCCCTCACTGTTTCCAGGATGGCTTCGCGGGCCATATGAAACCACTTCATGGGCCGCATCCAGCCCCCGGGCCTTGTGTTTGACATGTCTGACATTGTTCTTGCCTTGTTTGGGAATACTCCCTTCTTGCTTCCTCTAGTTTCTTCACCAATAGTATAGGACAAAGTAAATTCTGTTAGAAAAGTGGTAATTTGAGACCTAGAACACTCTTAAAAATTCTGATGATTCAATAGATTTTTGGCCTAAATCAGTCAGATCAAAATATATATGTAATAATAGCCTTTGGAAACTACCTTAATTGCGCAGCAGGATAGTTTTATATATATATAAAATATATATGAAATCCAGTATATACTGAGTACACCTTTTTCAAATAATACATACATATATGCATACTTACTAGCTTTTCCCAATACTGTCGCCTTCTGGAGATCTGGTATAGGTAATTTTAAACTCAATATCTGGGACCAATTGCATAGCCAGACGGTAAAACTTAATAGCTAAAAATAAAAGCAATCTTATTTACATTGATTGTACATACACTTTGGAATAAATATTAAAAATGAACTTTTAAAAATCAGTGCATTAGCAAAGTTCTTATGCAACTTTTTTTTCTTTAGTTATTGCACTATTAATTCAAAATATATTCTGCAAAAAATGATGGTAGGAGATACAATCGCCATTATTAATTAAAGGCCATTTTAATATATAAATATTTAATTATTTCCATACCAAGCTGGGGGGGGAGTGGAGCCATGGATTGAATCAGCAACAAGGATCATTGAGTAATTAATTGTCAGATCAAGGTAAGTACTCTCAGATTAAAATGTAACAATAAAACTGACATGGTTTCTTGGGCCACTTAGCACATTTGAAATGTTGAGAACATATTTTGGCCACTGTTTTGATTAGTATGATCAATCACAAAGTACCCATTCACTTTAAGGCAAACTGGTGAGATTGTGGCCTTATCATCCATCTAATATCCCAAGATGCTTGCTTGAATACATGAGGACCACAAACATTCTTGGAAATAAAAGCTATGAGCCTCATCTAGTGGGCCGGCCACTAGTTGAGGCTCAGCACATGCCAGAGAACAACAGTATATACACAGATTATCTGAGTGTGGAGGTTCGTTCTCTGAGCTTGTGGGTTGGTTTCCAACATTTCATTACCAAGCTAGGTAACATCTTCAGCAGAATTTAGGGAATGTCAGTGTTGCTGTTCTTATGCTTATAAGGGCTTCGTGTGATCAGGTCTTGTGATGGGAGGTCACATCAGGTGAATGATGGGTCTTGTGAGGGGTCAGGTGTGGGTCATGTCAGGTGAAGGTCTTGTGCGGGGTCAAGTATGGGAAATGAAATGCTGGTTGGGGGGGTTACGTGGGCTGGTTGAAGATTGGTGCTGTTGCTGATTGGTTGTGCGGTTGATTTGAATTTTCAGGGGTCCATAGGCTGGTTGTAGGACAATATGTCTATTGATGGAATTGCTTGTGGAGTGTCAGGCTTCAATAAACCCGGGTGCGTGGTGGGTGGTAGCTTGGCTGATGATTCTTGTATTGCTCCAATCAAATTGGTGCTGTTCGGTGTCAGTGTAGGTAGCGATTAGGGATCGAGGCGATTGACTGCCAGCTGATGTTCATGGATTCTGGTTTTCAATTGATGCGATGTTTGTCCCATATAGAATTGTATACAGAAGTATACAGATATTTGCCACTATTGCAAACTTACATGGGAGTGCAATGCTCAGACTTGCCTGCTGCTTGGAGACTTTTGCTGCAAGATGATCATCAACCCGCGAACAGCTACACTTCCTCCATGAATGCCTCCACAAACAACCCCCAAAAGTACATGCTACTGACCACTGATCAAACACTCACAAGCATGGAAACTAGCCTTCCAAAATGGATGCAAAATGCTTTGATTCATGATCACTGATGTCCACAACCGCCTGGAAAAATACCAATGCATCACTGACAAAAAAACCCCCGCATGCCTCAACTCCAATGGACAGGACCTGACAGACCATTTGAAAGCACAATCCACAGGAATGCCAATAAAACACAAATCCAAAAATGCAACTCACTATAGGAGAAACTCAATACCATCACCCCAAAACCACAAGATGACAACTCAGAACTATGGATCAGAAATCTATCCAACAGACCTCTATCAGATGACGAAAAACTGTCCTCACACATGGCCTCAATTTCAACCACAAAGATGCTGACCCCATTGAATTCCTAGCCAATCTTGAATCCATTCTAAAATTGAACCACCTGGGCCAAAAAACACAAGACAACATCAGGCAAAAAATTATCCCCAACGTACAACGCAACAGACACAATTAAATACTCAGCCAAAAGGAGAAGAGAGGAAGAGAGCAGTAAAGAAACCGAAACAAAACAAAAGCATCATCATCCTACCGGCAGACAAAGACTGTGGTCACGGACTACATCAGCAAAGCTGAAAACCATTTAAATGATACCGACACCTAGCAAATAATCCACAACAATCCAACAAATCAGCTAGAGAAAAAATAAAAGTCACCCTAAGGAAAATGAAAAAGTAAAACAGCTAATACCACTAGAGAGAAAGCACATGTAACCACAAGAATCCTCCATGCCCAGGTTCTACAGACTCCCCAAAATACACAAGAATGAGATCCCCTTGCGCCCAATTGTGTCTCTACCCAGAACACTGATGTTCAAATTAGCAAAAACCCTGCAGAGGAAACTCTCAGACACCTGGTCAAGGACTCAAATCACTGGACTTCCGGTGAGCAGGCGACCTCGTCGGACGCAGCTGTAGCTGCCTCCCGCCTGTTTCGCGTAAAAGCCATTTTGACAGCGAGCACCAGCTGTCAAACGGCTTGATACCTTTCCCCCGGGCATAAGGGGATCGGTGAGCTGCCCGGGGTAGGAGTTGAGTTCCCGAGTCGTCCGATGTGGACGATGTAGGTTAGAACTCCTCCGGAGCCCCGAGGATTCTCCGCAATCCAGGACGCCTTCGCCTCGGCGAAGCTAGAAGCCGCCGCCACCGCTGCAACCTAAACTTAACTGTGAGTGACTGTACGCAGACAAACCGACCCTGGAAGTTTGTTTCTTACTTTGGACTCTACTCTAACTTGAGCTATTTTGATCTTCCCTATACTTGGGTTGGATTGTGTGAAAGTGAACTTAAAATGGCGATGAATGATACTTTCTAACAAGAAGAAGTGAAAGTGACTTTGATTTCCGGTTTGGAACTTTTGTTACTTTAATACTTTCACTACTTGTCCTGGATTAACTGTTTAAAAGACTCTCATATAGACTGAAATTTTCATATTGCTAACATGGCTTCGAGAAGATTGGTGCCTACAACTGCAAAACCAATTACATCTCCGACTTCTCAGCCGCCTCAACCAATTTCTAAGCCGATTTCTCACCCGCCACCCCCGCCATCTTCTTCACCCCCGCCGCCCTCTGGTAAAGAACTACAGGACTTTATGATTCAAATGACAGAGATGTTTCAAAAAATGGATGCTAAAATTGAAAACAAGATTGACCAACTAATACACCAACAACAAGAACTAGTACAGAAACATGAGGGCTTTCGTTTGAATATCACAACTGCTTTTCAAGGTTTGGCTGAATATNTATTTCTTTGTTGAATGTGGATTACAAAATTTTTGCAAAAATTTTGGCTAATAGACTGATGCAGATATTGCAATATTATATACATGATGATCAAACTGGTTTTATATCTGGAAGATATATGAAGAATAATATTAGACAAATTGTGAACTTATTGGAATATTTGGATAAGAACAATCAAGTGCCATCGGCTTTCATCTTTCTAGATGCGGAGAAGGCCTTTGACAAATTGGACTGGCAGTTTTTAAATAAAATACTGGACTATATGAATTTTGGAACTCAATTTAAGACAGCCATAAAAGCGATCTATCAAAAACAATCTGCTCAAATAATTATTAATGGAGACCTGACAGAACCTATAGATATACAAAAAGGCACCAGACAAGGTTGTCCACTTTCCCCATTATTATTTGTACTGTCTTTGGAAATTCTGTTGTTTAGAATTAGAGAATCACCAATGATTCAAGGCCTAAAGATTTCTACTAAAGAATACAAACTTAAAGCTTTTGCTGACGATTTGGTTTTTACATTAACTCAACCAATTGAATCATTGGAATTTTTGTTGCAAGAGTTACATCAATACGGTAAGGTGGCTGGATTTAAAATCAATGTGAATAAGACTAAAATTCTTGCAAAGAATATGATTGCAAGAGACAAAGATCAACTTATGCAGATGTCAGGATTTGAAGTGGTCAATAAAGTTAAATATTTGGGAATTTTTTTGTCATCATCCAACGCGAAACTGTACCAGAATAATTATGAAAGATTGTGGAAATTGGTACAAAAGGATTTATCATCGTGGAAAAAACTACAGCTTTCGTTGCTGGGTCGTATAGCGGCCATTAAAATGAGTATTTTGCCTAAGTTTCTTTTTCTATTTCAGATGATACCTATTTTAAAAAATGAAATTAACTTGAAAGAATGGCAAAGAGATTTGAATCGCTTTATTTGGGAAGGCAAGAAGGCGAGAGTCAAATTTAAGATTATTCAAGACACCAGAGAACGTGGAGGACTTAAAGTACCAAATTTGACACTTTATTATGACTCTTGTGCATTAACGTGGACGACTGACTGGATTAACTTGTCTAACAAAGGGATTCTGAATGTCGAAGGTTGGGACTTGTACTTTGGATGGCATGCTTATCTTTTTATGCAGAAAAAAACTGATAAAACCTTCAGAAATCATATAATAAGGTCTGCATTGTTAAGAGTTTGGCAAAAGTATTTCTTTAAGTTTAATGTTAGGTTACCACTCTGGGTGATTCCGTCGCATATTTTTCAAGCTATAACTAGAGGAGTGGTGATGGAGGGACTTACATATAAAGATTTGCTATACCAGAGTGGTGGTGGGAACTGGTGCCTAAAATCAATAGAAGTCTTGAAGCAAAATAATCCAAAGTTTTCTTGGTTTTTGTATGGACAAATTCAAGATAGATGGCGAATTGATAAAAAGACTACTTTTGTTTTGGAAGATGGGACTTTTTTGAAGCAAATAAGACATGGTGCCAAAGGTCATATCAAGAGGATATATAACGTTTTATTAGAATTGGACTCAGAAACTGAACTAGTTAAAGACTGTATGATTAAATGGGCTCAAAATATAGGAGAAACAATACCTATGGACACTTGGGAGTTGATCTGGGTGAGAAATGTGAAGTTTACACAAGCTCAAAATTTACGTGAAAATTTTTATAAGAT